TGATGAGATTTTGAAAAGATTTTTGGCACATATGTAGAGTTAATATATCTCTATAAAGTTACCGGTCAGATTTTTTTTAAAACCTCTTAGAGGAAAAGTTATAGCCATTTAAAAAATTGAAACACTTTGTGTAACCGTTGAGTATAGGCTTCCAGCACCATAGAAAGATTTAATATGATATCGTTATATCCGATGTCATGATAACCAGAGTGATGTATATAAAGAGATAAAGAACTCTCACTATATAACGGTGTATTTTTTTTTTTTAAATCAGTGTATATAATGTCACGAAAGAAGTCTCAATGCATATGTAACAATCCTGAGCATTTAAGGGAATATATTCTTAGTGCAGGGCCGTTTTATGCCTTCTCATGAGATAATAAGGATAATTTTTTGTTCTGAATTTGCAATTAGCGTTAGATTAAAATACATTTGAGATAGCGTAGTGATCATAACCCTTATTGGCTAATTGCTCTGAACAAAATTCAAACCCATTGTATGTACATGCATACATACAGACTATTCAAATCATACCTTGGGGAGGTCCAAATGGTAACATAGTCAGCACGTATCCACTTAAGCACATACCCACCCACCTACCTACCAGGGCATAAAATACTATCCATTTTCCGGCCACTCAAAAACATAGTTCTTGATTCAAATTATTATTATTCTTTTAATGTATTAAAAAGGACACTTGAAACAATGGGATGCATGGCCGGGAAATGAATATGTATTTTATGCCATGCTACCTACTTATACACTCGATGGACAAAAATATTCGGTTACTCGTTAAATAACCACACTGTAGACTTGTCATTATGGAAACTTTAAAGATGTTAAAGATGTTCGAATTAGGATTTTAGAAAAGGTAACCCACCGTCGGCCGATATCCCCAAAAATAATACTCCCATTTAAAGATCCGGGTGTTACTTCCAGCCCTGTTTCTTGAATAAGATCCAGGGGATTACTACTTTATATGATATATCCCCAAATACTGTATAATTCAATTAAAAATGAATAAGACTCCGATACTGTAAGCAGTGACCAGTAAATGTCTGCAAATAAATTATATACTTCAATTAGGTGGGCATCGAAATTACGTGACGTATAACTGATTACCAATCGATGTATTGCAAATTTACGATTTTTACTTTAACGCTCTTCAAAGCTTCAACTAGATAAATAGATAAAGAAAATTTTATATCAAAATATTTGTAATGAAATTTTTTACTAGAACACGAAAGCCAGTTTCTTTAGAAATAGTCCTGAAATTTCAAGTTATACTGTGATCTTGTGATTTTGTGATGGTATATTAATCACGTGTGAGTTGAAGGAAATCTGGTTCTATTGAATTTATACTAACATTAAATTTTCAATTGAGTAATTTTGGCCGAAACTATTGTGCAGAGTAAGTCCCATTTTACTATAAAAAACCGATATTTTCGTTCTTCGTTGTGCGTGAATACCAATATGTCAACATCGTCAACCAAAGGAATTCTCGGAAAAAGGTCTTATTCTGAAAATGTTACTACCGGGGATAATGCCCCAGGCCAAATGCATCCTCGCAATAGATATAGGAACAACCCTCCGGACTTTGCTGTTCTCGCGTTCAAATACTCCTCCTTTTACCCTTTGTGAGTATATAATGTTTTCCCTTTATTATAAAACGTTCTTGTCTAATGCTCTTCCTTAATCAATAAAAAAGTGTACATTATACTAAAGAAGGAAAGCCGTACATTGATTTCAAAAATCCTGAAGCTGTTAGGTACGTTTTCTCCTTTTTTTTTTTTTTATTAACAATTATCAACCATTTTAACGCGAAAATCAACATTCTAGGGAACTTACTTACTGCCTTCTACGTAATGATTTTAATCTCACGTTAAACATTCCATTAGACACGTTATGCCCACCGGTAAATTCCATTCATTTAAATTTTAAGTCTTGTCTTAGAATTCTACTCACATACTATATTTATTCAGATTCCAAACAGGTATTCTCGTGATTTAGCTATTAAAATTCTTAATTGTATTTTAATTAATTGATAAATACTTAATATTCAGATTAAATTATATTCACTGGATCGAGGATTTGATATCATCTGAAACTAGACAAGATCGTTCTGTGTATGCAATAGATATGTAAGTCTGCACTAATATATCTGAAAATTCTGAATTTCCAAATGTCTTATACTTCAACATTGTTGTTAGTGGTACTGGTGCTTCGTGTATCTATCCTTTATTGGGCTGCACGCTGAATAAGAACTGGATGTTTTTGGCAACTGGTAATTTAACGATTTAGCGTTAATTTTTAAGATGTATAATTGCCTTAATGCTTTTTACAAAATCTTTCAATTTAGATATTGACGAAAGATCCATAGAGTATGCTGAAACAAACGTGTTAAGAAACAATTTAGATCACAGAATTACCGTGATTAATAACAAAACAGACAAGAAAATTATGTTGTCCGATGAAGTTTTATCCAATAATTCTATCAAGTTTAGTTTTGCTTTACTTCAGAATTGTTGCAACCTGTCATTCACAATGCCTTCATGATGAAGCCCGATTCTATATGATGTTATATAGAATTCGGATTTTAATTTACGTGAGTAACGTACCTTCATTTGTTAAAATTTCGTATTCATTATTAGGTTTGCTTTCTGCATGTGTAATCCTCCTTTTTACGAAAGTCAAGAACAATATGAAAAAGGTGTTGAGATGAAGCATTCACCTTCTCTATCGGTAATAATCTTATTATATTCGTCAGTAGAATATAACCTTAAACAAAACAAAATGAATAACTAAATAAATAATCAATTTTTATGTTAATAAAAATAGGTATGTACCGGTGCATCTCATGAGAAAATCACCGTTGGTGGAGAATTCCAATTTATTAAAGATATTCTGGAAGAAAGTTTGGTTTTACGTAATAAAATTCGGTAGGTTCAAAATAATAATTGTTAGTTTAATAAATATTTTTTTTAATAATCATTGGATATTAATTATAGTTGGTATACCTCTAAAATTGGACGGTTGGAAACGGTTAATAGAATTGTTCGTGAATTAAAAAAAACTGGAGTAAGTATTATTATGTATCATTTTTTTCTTTGTGTACGCTTACAGCTCATAACTGACTCTATTTGGACATTAAAGATCGACAATTACGTAGTCACCGAATTTTGTCAAGGGCAAACACGAAGATGGGGTATCGGGTGGTCGTTCGGAACCCAGCGACCATCTACGGTATGATTGTATTCAAGTTTTTGAAAAAGTACTTTAAGGTTTACAGGCTTGAGAGGAGCTAATTCTATTCCTTTTTTCAATTTTTAGAGTATTTCACAACCATCTTCTAAAAAGCTTCGTAAAACTGCGCCTCCTAAAACTGAATTCTGTGTTGTTTTACCAACAAGTTCAGATAATATCAAAAAGTTTCTCAAACAGCTATTCGATCAATTGGAAGTTGTAGTACAATGGAATGAAGATTCTTACACGTTTTCTGGTAGTGCAAACATCAATACTTGGTCGCGTGCTGCTCGACGACAAAGAATGATGAAAACAGATTGTCAAACGGAGTCATCTACCACTGTCACTACGTCGACTGATGAATCTTTATTTGAGTTTACTTGTAATTTTGAGCCATGGAATACTAGTATTAATACTACTAAGGTTACAATTTCATGGACAAATGGCAAAGATCGGAGTATTTTTGAATCATTTTATGTTCATGTCAAGAAAAAATTGGAGCAGGAATTTTCCGCTGACGAATAATAACATTACTCATGAATCATATTATTTGTTAGTGGTCATTAACGTTTTAAAATAGCTTTATACGATAGAAGATATATTTTGCTTTTACAATCATTTTGTAAGTAAATTAGTAAAATTAATCTTTGTAAAAGCTTTGTGTATATTTAAAAAAAAAAAATCCGATAACTAGTGACGGATAATGAATTAATTTGATTGGCTTTCTCTTCGATTTCGTTTCCGATGAATTTGAATCTACGTTCGTTTGTTAAACGAGAGACCTTGCACGTGCATGAAAATTTATTTGCGCAACTCGAGCACCAGCCGACAATTTCCTTACCAATATCGAAAATTAAATAAAGAATTTCTTTAATGAATGTCCAATAAATCATTTGGTAATAAAAACTTGGAACGCGAATTTTAGAAAAAGTAAATTAGAATGTGAAAATCAAGAGTTTTATTTTAAGCATAAGTATTAAAAATTAAATTTAATTTACAATTCACGATAGAAAGAGAATATTAACAGGGGAATATTTTATAATAGGAAAATAATTAAATATATTAATACAGGAATCGTAGTTTTATAAAAAAAATTTAAAATTATATTGCTTGTAACTTTTTATCTACCCAACTAATTTTACCGACTTACTACCATTAGCTTTACAACTTTTATTAGAAGTCCACAGAAGGTTAACATAATAAAATTTTCCTTTATATAGTAAGGAATGATGATTTTATATTTTATTAATGGGATTACTATAGAATTTATTAACATTCTCCTATCGATTAGTGAAAAACAAAAAATGACGCTTTCCAAAATTTTAGTGATAAAATTAGAGAATTAAATTATAAACATAAAAAAATAAATAAGTGAATAAATTATACTGTATACCAGTGTTTCGGGCGAAACCCGATTTTGCAGATCATTTGCAGATCAAATTGGGCGAAACTAGTTTCAGAGGGTTTCGGACTTATAAGGCGAAACTAAAATTCCTCTGGGCGAACATTTCGGACTTTGGGGGGAGGTTTAGGCCGAAACACTGCTGTATAATATATCAAAGCAAAAAGATTATTTGTATATTATGTTTGTTATTTAAAAATTTTTTAAAAAAATAATTTAGTTTAATATAGTTTGATTAAATTTAATTAGTAATTTAAAGATTTATAAATTTGGTTTCTTAATCAAAATAAATAAGTATTAAATCAGGTTGTACTATATTGTCGAAAAAATATTTGTCAATTGACAATTTGATTGTTAACAGATGAATTTATCGCCGTTTTCAAAATGGTTGAAATAGCAATATTTAAGAAAAAAATTTTTTGCGAATACTCGAATACTCGATTAGTTTAGAACATTGGTCACTATTATATAGATTGGAGATCGATCATCGATCAATGTTCTAAGCTAATCGTATTCGCAAAAAAAATTTTTTTTGTAAATACTAACTAACCATTTCGAAAACACATATTATTATTTTTTGCTGCTTCTTCCTTGTTTCTTTTGAAGTCTCTTTAATTTTTTGGCAGAATACTTTATAATAATAATTATTATTAGATTATTGATTTTTTACTTTAAAATTGTACAATATTTCTAAAAATTCAACTTACGAGAGCAGCTAACTTTTCAAGTCTCTCCTTTTCTTCTAAAGCCTGTTTCTTCTTTAGAGCAATTTCACGTTTTCGCTTTAATTGTAAAAAAATTGATTGTGTCAATCTGATCAATTAAATTATTTCTAAATAATGCTGTTTTATTCACCTTTTTTTCGGACGCGACCTCATCTTTCAATTTTTGTTCTAAAAGTTTCGTAGCTTCTTTTTCCTCTCGTTCTTTTAAACGATCGTCCCAGCTCTTACGCAAACTACGCGGAAGTTGAGAGCGACGAGTAGCTGTTTTTGGACTTTTCCATGGCTTGCCTTTAAATTGAATTTATGGTTATTATTGAAAAGTTGTATTTAGAGCTTCGGTAATATTTGAAGTACAACCTGATACTCTACGCCCTATTTTCTGAGTGCTTTGCGTAAGCTTTGGGGAGGAAACTGGGGAAGAAACTGAGCAATAACCAGTTGGCATATTTATAATAGGATCAGTGTTTGTTTCCATGGTTTCTATCCTGAAATACGAGTATAGAAAGAGCGTGAAAGGAATATCAACTGATTATCATTGACCAATAAATGCCAATGTTACACAGCTGTTATCTCAAATACAGAAATATTTCAGTATTTGCAATGCCCACCAAGCTTTTTACATATTTTACACGTAATATATTTATTTCGCGCTTCAAATCGAAGCATTTGAATATCATGACAACACCAGCTGCAGAAGTTACAACGGGTTTGACAAACGGTAATTGCAATCCTGAGCTTTCTCTTTTTTTGAAATTAACTTTGTTAATTTTGAAATTGAAATGTGCAGAAGTCGTAGCTCTTACCAAGACAGAATTATCTGAAATTCCTGTCATTAATCCTGTGTCGACTGAAGAGGGATCTCCTCCTATAAAAAGAAAACGGTATACGACGGCAAGAGATAGAAGGGAGCATCTTAGCAGAACTTTTAAATATAGAAAGGGTAATCGTGACGAAGATAGGAATTCATATAGAAGTAACGAAGAAAATAGCAGCAAAACCAGTAGCGATGTTATTAGTAATACGTCTGTAGAGAAAGAACCAAGAAAGCCAAAGAGAAAAGTAGCAGTATTGGTTGGTTTTTGCGGCACTGGTTATCAGGGGATGCAAATGTATGTAGAAGACATTCCGATAAACCATTCTATTATTTATTTATCTAAATTATGAAAATCTATACAGCAATCGTAATGCAAAAACTATTGAAGAAGATCTCTTTAAAGCCTTTGTAGCTGCTGGCGCTATATCAAAAGATAATTCTGATGATCCAAGGAAGGTATGTAGCTCCTAAATATTGAATAAAGGAACTCTTTTCATTAATAGAACTCTATGAACAATAGGTAAGCTTTATGCGCGCCGCGAGAACTGACAAGGGAGTGCACGCAGCTGGAAATTTGATATCGTTAAAGATATGAATTTTTTTTAATTATAATAATTTGGGTTACCTTAATTTGCATATCATTAGAACTTATTTCAGTATTTTGTTTTTTTACATGATTATAGATATTCCGAATTTAGTCGAAAAGATTAATGAAAACCTTGCTGATCAGATTCGAGTATGGGGTAATAATTTATATGTAGCTTTTATATTTATATATATTTATATTTATATCTATAACAATGAAATTATCGTTTATAGGTTTTGTTCAGACCATTCGTTCTTTTCATGCAAAAACATTGTGTGACTCTCGTATATATGAATATCTCCTTCCAACTTATGTTTTTATTCCCCGAGAGAGGGAGCAAATAGTCAATTCAATAAGACAATTATCAGCTAAACAAAATGATAATCAGACACAGTTCGTCGAAGCACCTCTTGCTACGGCTGAAGAAATGATCGAAAAGCGGAAATATCGTATTTCTTCTAAAATACTAGATTTGGTGAAGCAAGGATTTAAAGCGTATGAGGGTACGCATAATTATCATAATTTTACACTGGGTCGCAGTCCAATGGAGAAAAGCTGTAATAGATTTATCATGAGTTTTGAAGTGCGTAGTTTAATGATGTAACACCTTTTCAACATTCAAAGTTAAAATACTTTTTTCTTAGGTTAGCGACCCCAAAATAGTACGGCATGCTTGCGATTCCAAAACTAGTGATCCAAATGAGACTGAAGAGAGTGAATGGCTGAGTCTTAAAGTTCATGGACAGTCGTTTATGCTACATCAAATTCGTAAAATGGTTGGTAAGTGTCATAATGTATTATCGACGAACATCATTATGTATTATCTAATACTTCCTTATTACATTAGCCTTAATAGTCATGATGATAAGAACGGAAACACCACTTGCTCTTATTCATAAAACTTTTGGGCAGACCAAGATTAATATTCCTAAAGCTCCAGCTCTAGGGCTATTGCTCGATCAGGTAACACTAGACTTCATAATTCCTAAACTTGATCATCTATATAATCCTTATTGATAATTATCATTAAATTTAGCCTGTATTCAGATCATACAATAAGAAAGCCTTCGATAATGGCAAGGAGTTGGTTGAATTTGATATTCACAAGGTAAAAAATATGTTGATAAACTAACAGTTGCATATTAATTATGGTACTCAATCATATTAATACTGTTTTTTCGAGACAGGATAAAATCGATGCATTCAAAGAAAAATTTATTTATTCCAAAATTTACGCAGAGGAATTTTCTGAAAACACGTAGCTATTTTTTTTAGAAAGTATCACAAGTATTTTTCTGAAGCTTCGCTAAAAATGGTCTATTTGCATTTTATATACAAATTACAGCTTTCAGAATTGGATCAATTCCATCGACTATCATACAGAGCGAGACTACGGATATTTGAATCATGAAGGTGAGATACCTGAATGTGCTATTATAAATCCAAACGAAAAATTTAATAAGGACGTAGATGATGAAAATCAAGAAGAAAACGATTCAGATTGATGTTAATGTAATAAAAATTATAACACTATGTATTGTTATATTATAATAAAATGTACAATATGTACTACATATTAAGTTAGAATTTTTATGCTGAACTAAATATTCGAATATCTAATTGCTTAAATAATTATTGAAATATTCAATGAATTATATACAGTTTTTATATTTTATAGCTATTTAGCAAATTATATTTTTAAAAAAAAAACTTCTATAATAATATAAAAGAAATATAGTAAATTGTGTAATACAGTCAAACCTCTTTATAGTTACCTTCTATATAACACATTTTTTTTATATGTATATTTTTTTTAAAAACTAACTATATATATAATCAAATATAATAAATTTGATCTTTACAATATAATTGGCATATTTATACTTTATTGTATTTCAAGAGTATGATTATATTATAAATAGGTTTGACTATAATTGAAAAATTGTTTTAGTTTAAAGTTTATACAGTATATATAGTATAGTCAAACCTTTCTAAATGCAATATCTCTTTAAATACATTGTTATGAAACAGGTTTTTTATAATATAAAGTAGTTTAGTATATAGTTTTATATTTATATATATATGTTGTGCCCCAAATGAAAATCGGCCCAGTTGTCAATTGGGCTAGCCCAGATGACAATTTGAATTTGGGCT